GAAACAACATCTGACTGCCTGTGTGGAACTACCGACAGTAATTTGGAACCCCCTGAGGAAGACGGAACTCCCGACAAGAGTACCGGACTTCCAGCAGTAATATGGAAACTTCCAGCAGTTATATGGAAACTTCCGGCAGGAATATCCGACACCCCGACAGTCGAGAAGGTATTGCCATCATTTCGATGCCCCTGGCGAACGCCTTTTGTTGTGTGGAATTTTCGACACGAAGAACCTTTATCGATTTATTCATATTGAAAATATTTTGGCGTCATTTCGAGCCTCGACGATATCCAACGCCGCCCCGGTTCTCTACGGAGTGCTCTATTTCTTTCCCTCGATGACCTCTTGAATTAAAAACCAATTGCTTCGGGGAATCATTCAAGGTTTTCGAGCTTTGGTGCCGTGCACTTCCGGTCCGGTGCACTCAAGTGTTGCATCACATGGACAACGTGGGCCTTGCTGTTATATACACCAAAGAGAGCGAGGGAAAGGAATAAAGATCGGGAGAGAGAGAGAAGGATAAACCACAACATGGGAAAATATCCATGTTCTGTGTGGCTTCTGCCGATGTCACCCCGCCTGGTGCTCCCCAACAAAATTTCGCAAGGCGCCAACATTGACGTCCAGAACAATCCGAGGTGGCGCACACACAACTCAGTGCGCCTTGGGGAAAGCAACCTCATCACATCACGAGGTCACATGAGGACGTGACTACATTTCTGTAGTCCTTGCAACACCACCCTTAAAATCTGCCAGACATGACGACCGAGGTTCCCCCGGCACAGCAGGCGTGCGTGAAGATCAAAACCTAGGGCAGAGCGTACCGCTGCTGCCTTACATGATGGGCATGGTTCGCCGAATCTCGTCTACTGGGACGTTCGTTCCTTCCTCGTGCTTCCACGGCTCGGGGTGGGATTGGCATGGACGGCGAAAACATGAACGAACATCACTCCCCGGCCGGGCAAGCAGTGCTACATTACATGTGTCATGAGTAGTGTTCTTGACATATTCAGTATCCGAGGGTTTGGAGCATTACGAAAACACGAACGGATCGTCTTTCTGCGAGGTTATGTTTACTTTCTATGACTTCAGCATCCCTACGTTTCTCCTCGTTAGTTTTTTGTTTTCTCCTTATTCTTGGGGCCGTTTTTGTTTTTTTTTCTTTGCTCACAAGAAAATTTCTTGCTTGGCGAGCTAACCTGACTTTGTCGAGAATTTGTCGAAAATCTTCAGTTGGATGTACACTCGATGACACGTGCTTCCCATTCTCAAAAGGTTCTAGGCATACCAATACCTCCTCATGGAAGGACTCATAAACGTTCAGGACCCACGAAAGTTAAGCAGACAGGCACAGGAGATTCACGTCCTCATGGAAGACAGGCAGAACGGCATCTCGAAACAGCAGCCGGTGCTCTTTGCACAACAAGTAACTGGTGCAGCAGCTCTTTCTATATTTCAAGGTCGCCTTTGTGTTGCTGCCGTGCCGTGCGGTGAGCAGGGCCTAGCCGAGTAAAAAACCAAGCGCCCCATTTTCTGTACAAATTTAGGCGTGCGTACAACAGATCGCAACACCGCCAAGGCTCGCTCAACTTCCAGGCAGTGTTGCGATCTGTTATATTTGCGCATGCATAGAATAGATATTAATCTCAAAACAGCCAGGAGGTCTTGATTGGTCGGCTCTTGGTCGAGAAAAGAAAAACACGCCACCCTTACGGGTGCTTCAGCACCACTAGAATACTATCACCACGCCGCCAGAGGCTGCCTCGAAATAGGTACAACATGCCACCCCCCAACGCCAACAACAACAAAGCGTCTCCTTTCCAGCCCAGCTCACTTGGATTGGTTGCCCTTCCCTTCCCACCGCTGCTGGAAATTGCTGCCGCCCCCTCCTCCGGGCCCAGGCATCCCGCCAGGACCGCCGCCGCCCCCGCCATTCCCTGCCCACCTGCCCCCCCCCCCCCCCCCCCCCCCCCCCCCCCCCCCCCCCCCCCCCNCTGTGCTTGGTACTGATTCGGAGGGTAATGTTGATGATCCGCCGGCCCGTAGATCCCTCCAGCGCCTCCGGGCGGAGGAGGTCCATAGTACCCCGACGCTCCCCCATGCGGACCCCCCCCCCCATGCGTGGGCGGCAGTCCCGCGCCGTAGTTCCCGCCCCGGTTGCCGTGGATGCCAGACACCGACCCGTAATACGACATGTTGCTGAGTTGTGTGTTTAGCGACCACGCAGTAGGCCGCCGGCGTTGGATAGAATTATTTTCGTGGCTTTGTTTTCGTCTTGGTCTTGCTGACCCTGTGCGAGCAGTTACGCAGCGAGGCAGCGCGAACGCGCGCGCCGGCTTCGAATGTATACGCAAGAGAGCGGGGGGGG